ATATATATATATATATATATCATTATTGTGATGGGGGCCCTGCAGTAAGTCATAGCCCCAGGGCCCAGTGCGGTCTTAATGCGGCCCTGATAGCAGATATACATTAGGAGGAGGCAGACAAGGAGTCTTGTGTGATTTGATCTGCACACAAATCTGTCTGAAAATATGCCTGTACTCTACAGATAATAATAATGCCCCAGTATAGTAAGTTGACAATGAATAGCTTCAATACTTTTCACAACTGATTAAACGATTTGTCTGTGTCATTACTAAAATGTTCACAGAAGTCCCTCAGTCTATTAAAATGTTTTAGTAAAAATGTATCTATATAAATATTTCATTTTATTTCAAATAAAGCAATAAACAGAAATATTAAATGATCCTTCCTTAATTGCTTTCATTTGGTTAAAACATTATTTTACGCTAATCTTTACTGTTATTGGATCAAATAGTTGAAATAATGTTTCCTCTGAATGAAAAAAAAGAATATTGCCAAAAGTACAATAAATCCCATATTGCAATATTAAAAGATTTTTCCAGTATTTTTTTCCTGAGATATTCAAGCACAAATTAGGTGATTTCCAGAGAATGGTCCAGAGACAGAAAGACAGATGCCAGAGTCAGACAGAGTCAAACAGAGAGTGATAATGGAAAGAAAGTAATAATGAACGAGAGAGGTTGCACATACAGTGAGATTATCTCCCCGGTGTCGCCCTTTCCTCCGTGGCTGCTGAACAGCCATTTCCATACAGACACAAGGCACGCCACAGATATGTCCATACAAATACACACATAGAAAGCACATAGGGCCGCATTTACACAAGACAAAGCACATTAACAGTGGGTGACCCCAGGCATGAGAGAGAAGGAGAGAGAAAGAGAGATTGTACTCAAAAGAAGAAAAAGTTGGAGATAGGGTTTCGTGCAGGAGTAAACAAGGATGGGGAGGGAGTAAAAGATGGGGAGGGAGTAAAAGAGGGGAGGAAATAAGGAGAGAAAGATACAAATAAAGAGAGAGAAGAGAGACACAGAGAACCTGGTTAGACACAGAAGAAGTGGAGACGGAAAAAAGACACTTACCACAGCAGCACACACACTGAGGACCAGAGGCAGTGTTAGAGACACGTCACAGTACACCACACAGAATGATATGGTGAGGAACAGTACAGTGATCACGACACATAGTGGCCATAGAGAGGTATACTACAACACTGCGCACACATACAGTATTGTATAGCATGAGACCACACCAACAAAACTCTCTTGTACTTGGTTTCAAAAATATATGTAAATCACTCTCACACTAGTACATGTTGAGGGTTGCGCAAGTACAAGACATACACTACCGTTCAAATGTTTGGGGTCGGTAAGATTTTTAAATATTTTTGAAAGAAGTCTCTAATGCTCACCAAGGCTGCATTTATTTGACCAAAACAGTAAAATTAGTAACATTGTGAAATATTATTGCAATGTTAAATTATTGTTTTCTGTTCTATTATATTTTAAAATGTAATTTATGCCTGTGATACAAAGCTGAATTTTCAGCAGTCATTACTGTAGTCTTCAGTGTCACATGATCCTTCAGAAATCATTCTGATATGCTGATTGGTGCACACTTATTAATAATGGTCATTATTAATTATCAGTTCTTATTATTAGCAATGTTGAAAACAGTTTTTGCTGCTAAAAGTTTTTGTTGAAATTTTTTTTTCTTTGATTCTTTGATTAATCAAAAGTTTAAAAGAACAGCATTTATTTGACAGAAATGTTTTGTGACAAATGCCTTTGCTGTCACTTTTGCTCAATTTGCTGCATCCTTGTTAAATAAAACAATTACGAAAAAGAAAAAAAAAATTAACTGACCTCAAACCTTTAAACAGTACTGTACTTACATAAACTTGGGAGACATTAATGCACACAAACTCACACAAAACACATGGTCACACAAATCCACATCTCAGTACCAACTCCCAAGTCATTGCTTGCTTCAGCCTCAAATTTCACTGAGCTTTATGACCCTGAATGAAACGCAATTCAAACTTGGCCAAAGGTTAATAACAACAAAAATAGAAAGGAACCACATAAAGTAATACTGGGCTGTAAATAATTACTTAAATTACTTATTTTTTATAGTAAAGACAATGTAAGAACACTGAGTAACTTCTTTACTGAGTGAGGAAATCAGAGTTAGCCAAACCCAAAATTTGAAGAATTTAAAGAAAAAATAAAGAAGGAGAGAAGGAAAGACATATTCACAGAAAATTCAAGGAGACAGCATGAGAAGAGAATTTATTCAGAAAAAAGAGAGCAAACCCAACCCTGCTTTTCTAATCTGTCAGCTCCTCAGCACCCACAGCATCATGGGATAGCAAATTGTGCACTTGTTACAAATTTCAGAATCTCCGCGGATGCAATATGCCATCTGGGTATTGCATTTTATGAATACAGAGCATCCAGATGTCCTGTTCGTGTGACATACTCCTTTTTGTATAATGTGTTGCAGGGAAGTGTGTATATTAGGGTCTGTATGAATGAGGAGGAGGCAGCTACTCAAAGGCCAGTGGTGAGAAACATGAAATAAAAAAACCACTTAAATTATACCCTGTTCTAGACCTGCATCAAATATGCATTATAAGTAAGGAGGGTGCATATTGTAATATGCTAGATATCATCTATCTAGACAATTATAATATGATTGTGTTTGAATGCAAAAAATGTATTCTTGAATACATCACATATATTCAAACACATATTCTGATAATTACAGATACTTAAAATGCATATTTATGACAGGTATGCAGATGAAACTATTTCATACTGACTGATCAAGCTTTGTTTCTTGTGGAGTGCCTCAAGGATCTGTTCTGGGCCCAACATTTTTTTTCAATGTGCAACATTAAAAGGCCTATCCTCTATAAACTAACATTTTTCTTCAGAATTTTTCTCTGTTACAAACATTAATATACTACACAGGGCCGTTGCTAGGAATTCTGGGCCCTGTGCACTGAATTTGCTATGGGGCCCCCTCAAAATCACAGTCTGTGGGTGGGGAGCTCGCAATCACAAAATCACATTTAGTATATTCGCGCTTGCACGATCACGTTCAGTGTGTGTGTGTGTGTGTGGGCGGGGGGGGGGGCGTCCCTGTTA